GGGGGGGGGGGGTGGAAAGGGCCAAAGAGAGGGGTACGGGGTATGGGAGACTAGGAGAAGGTAAAGAGAAGAGAGAGGAGAGAGAATGGGAAAGAGAAGAGAAAAAAGAAATTTTCCTCTGGGAATACACCCACTTATCCCCTTTTACAGCCTTATATGAAATATCCACCTCCTCCAAGTCCAAAGAGAATCGCTTCTTGGTGGAATTTTTTTTTTTTCTATGAAAGACTCTTCTTGGGGGCTACGAGGTGGCGGAGAGGGGGGAAAGGGGGGGGAGGGTGAGACATTCTTTCTTTTGTTGCCTTTCTTATTTTTTTGTACCCATCCCTCTCCTCCCTTTAGCAGCATATTTGATTCCTGGCTATTCGAGATTATTTACTATGAATTTAAACCGTCCTTTTTGTTCGTATATTTATACATTTTAAGTCTCTCCGAAAACCACTCGCAGCGTCTTTGTCTGTTTCCGGCAGGGGTTGTACGTCCCTTCCCCATATCTGGCAGGCGGATGAATCTGAATAGTGCTGCATAATAATTAACACTTGGAGCGAGCGCGTCCGTTAGAGGAAGGAAATTTCATTTTAAGGTTAGAATTTCTCGCCGGCGGCAGACGAACGTCTACGTCGAGTCGTACGAAACGGGGGTTGAAGTAACAGATCCCAGGGGGGTACACCTTTTTGGGGATGCTGGATGCGAGTAGGGAAACTTTTTATAGGGTTGAAATATGCGTAAGGTTGGGGAAGCAGACTGTTGATATAATTAACAAGTCAAAGGTAGCACCGCCATTATGCCAGTGCTAAATATGGTTCTGGGTGAATAACGAAAACTCTCTGAAATTCAGCCTTTGCTCAATTGAAAACAACCCCCTTAGTCATTCAAATCAAAAGTCTTGTACGACGGTGATACTTGTTTCACAATATATACATATATAGGCGTGTACATACATACTATATGTAAAGTGGGATTTCGATAACTCAAACTTCGATAAGTCATAATCCTTAATAAGACTATGAATCTTCGAACTTTCCAATGGGAATATAACTTAGAAACCTTTAAAGTATAACCTAACAAGCCCTTATAACTTAAAAACCGTGATAGGCCGTAATTACGATAAATCGAAGCGTGTTTCGTTTCCCTTGAGATTCGAAGTGATCGAATATATATATATATATATATATATATATATATATATATATATATATATATATATATACAATATCACAGTCCTTTTAGGTAATCCCTTAAAAATATAAAAAGCATTGTAATCCAGGGAAGATGAAATTCTACGAATTTCTCGAACAATCCCTTCTTATATTAAGCTTTTACTATT